TATTTTAAGCAATCTTCAGGAAAATGCTTTCCAAATTATTCATATTCAACGAAACAATCGAAATGATTATCATGTATATTTTACAAAAATGAATGAACGAAAAATTCTTAATCATCAAAGAAAATATTTAAATATAAATTATTATCCATAATAAAAATATTTTTTTTTAATTAATTATTTCAAGCAATATAAATTATCATTTTCTCGGAAGAGTGGCACAAGAAAGAGGCCTGCCCGAGTAGAATGATTAGACAAGCATTCTTGAGATGTGTGAACCTGTGATGACTCCTTTGCAACATGTGGTTTGACCCACACTATTCTTTTTTTTTTTTTATCATCATTGACCCACACTATTCTACGTCTCAAGCTTGCACTGCCTTTCACCTGACATAATCATTTCACCCAACTGGAATTATTATTATTAGGGTTTTTTTATGGTCAAAAAAATAAATTGGGGTAAATGTGTCACAAGTGTACTAGTTTAGGGTTTTTCGTAGTATTAACCCTTATTATTATTAGAAGATTTTCGTTAATGTATACAAAAGCGAAAATAGTTAATTTAACTTCTCTTTTTTTTGTTTTTTTCCTTTTCTTTCGCCAATAACTAAATAGATAAGGGTACGAATGATAATCATTTTATTTCAGAAATATATTTCGGGCCAAAAATATATTTTTCTATTTCTATTCTCTAGACGAGCTTATAAACAGAAATACGCGTTTGATAATGACACAAAATTATTTTTATGGACATAAATTCGTTTGATAATAACACAAAATTTTTCCTTCTTACGCTCTATTCCATTCATCGACAAGCGGCAGGCAGCGGGAGGTAGCGGTCAGTGGGCAGGCGGCGAGAGCGGTGGTGGCTAGCGGGAGGCAGCAAGCGACAATGGCTGGTCGGCAGCAAGCAGCGGGAGGCAAGGGCGAGCAATGAGAAGAGAAGAGTTTTTATTTTTCTTTTTGTTTTAGAAATAGAAATTCTGAAAATTTTTACTTCTCATTTTTACTCCAAAACCTATTTCTGGACTAAAAATTTATTCCAGAAATAGAAAAATGAAATTGTGTTACAAAACGGATTTATATTCCAAATCCGTTCCGGAAAACAGAAAAATAGAAAAACATAATAGTTATCACGTGCGTTCCCAAATCCAAAGTTTGATTTTCTCATTTATTTTTCTATTTACCGGAATCTGTTTTCGAACTATATTCTAAACGAGTATTATGTAAAATAGTCCTTAATCTCCATCGCAAATTAAAATAAAGAAAAAAAGATGGTGTGCGGCATGACAGAGCTTTGGTCACTGGCCAGTCTGTTCCGCCACGCCGGTGATTATAATATGTTATTTATCTGAATCACTAATAAGTTGTTTAATTAAGATAAAAGAGTAAAGCAAAGCTCTTCAATTAAAGATAAAGTATGTGAATGTGTCAGGAAAATCAGCCTCTGTGCCTTTAGGTTTGATCCTGCCTCTTGACTTGTTCTGGCCTTGGAGTTGCTGCATTTTCTCTTGGACTATTACCATTTGGAAATGAAGAAAAATGACTATGATTTGAAAAACATTTTTTTTCGCTTTAATTGTTTATATCACTTAAAAATAATTAACAAAGAAAATATTGTTGTCAATAAAAAATTTAAGCATAAGTTACTAATGAACAGATTTTTAATTCACTCAATTTCCAAAAGCAATATAAAAAATCAATATTAAGAAGATATTTTGCTAAATGTCATTTTTTTACGAAACAAATGCATTGCTTAATTATACGTTTTGTTTTTCCGGCTTGCAACATCGTACATTCAAATATAGAATTTTGGAGTTTTGGCTCAATTGCATGAGGTGGAGGGTGGCAATGGCGATGAGCCAAGCCGAACCAAACCAAACACATTGTGGGTTCTTTTTCAGTATGGCAGTTAGGTGGTGTCCAAGTCAGTTTCGCATACCTTAATTGGTCAACCATCTTGGGCGATCTTAAGAACGCAGTTCCCCGTATCAGCCAGGTGCATTCGGGATTTTACTTCTCCAATAAGGCTTGAATTAATACCATGAGTAGAGGAGCAAACTCACTTACCATTTAAGCCAATACCTTATTGGACATGCATGTGTAAGTTTCGCTCCTTACATAAAGTGCAATGACAGTCCCTCTCACATGTGTGGGCATGGAAAGGAACGAGTTTTTGTATCCAATTATGTCTCGACGTCGAGTGGTAAAAATGTTAAGTCTGCTCATATTGAACGATAAGGGTAGATTTAATCAAGAAAAAAGGTGGCGTACATGGTCATTAAAAAATGGTTATGTTTTCCTCAAACTCTAGTTGAAGGAAACTAACTTTCAACCACCCTTATGATTGGTGAGTTACAAATGAATATCACTCACATTTATGTCGAGTTAATTTTGTATGTAAGTGATATTCATAATTTATAAGGAACATATGGCCGGTTAAAGAAAGGTTAATTATAATTTTAAACCTCTAAGTTGTGCAATTTGGTCCTCTTACTAGTTTTACGTAATGTAGTCCTTTTAACTATCCTAATTCGCACAATCAAATCCTTCTGTCACTAACACCATCAAATTGTTGACACAACGTCCCTTACGTGATGAAATTTAGATATGTGGCACCATCTTAGGAAAAATAGCAAGAGCACAAGGGCTAATATGCCAGGCCTGTCCAAACACCAGGAAGGGCTCAACGACCCTCGCTGGGAATAAACAGATACCTGGCAATAGGGTTCACGATCCTCATTAAGCGACCCTCGCTTGCCGCCGCTAATGGTCTAGTAGCCGAAACCTTTTTCGATGTGTCACGTGCCCTCGGAGAATAAGCTACCCCTGCCTGCCACCGACAGTATTGATCACACCACGCTCATTGATCTCCCTTTCAAATGGCTTTCACTCGAAATTTTTTTTCAGACGACACGGAATTAAATTGTATAAAAAGAATATAAGAAAGAAAGCAAAATGACAAAAAAAAAAAAAGCTACTAGTGTGGCACCCAACTCAATTTCAATAATGAATCATGAGTTCAATTGCCGTAAAAATAAAAATAAAATTTTCAACTGCCTGTGAAAGTGTAATAAAGAAACAAAAGGTGGAAATTCTCAATAGCAATCGAAATAGCAATGCACGATGTTACGCGGTCCGAGCTGTCCGAATGGATCTCCCCCATTGGCTGCGACGAAATCAAGAGTTTGAAGACGGTCCGTTCCTACCCCCCACCCCACCCCAGCGATCGGGCCCCACCCGATCATCCTGCCCCGCACGATGGCGACACCTGTCCCGTCGACCTCAACCCGAATTACCTTAATGCCCCTTCGAATGTCAGCGCCGAGATTTCCGCACGGCACATTTACGAAGAAGCAATCGAAAATCATCAATCATTAGCGACAACCATCGTAATTGCGAGAAACACATACGTAACGTTCAGACACGCAACGGCTATAAAAAAAAAAATGCAGAGATTTTAGCCCGACATCAGTTACAAATTTTGGCATTTTTTTTTGAAAATGAGAATCCCGAGACCGTCACGTTTAAAAAGCAACACGTCGTTACCGATCTTCATAGGGCACCCACAAAACGTCGTGTTCTTTCGCTACGCATTCAGCACTTGACGAGCAAAGACAACCGTGCGAAGCCGACATTCAGGAACGAAGGTGATTTGTCTCCGTCCCCAATCTTGTCCTCCTTTCTTGCACTGTGTTTTGATGAGACGAGACTTAAAGAAAAGATGAATTATGGTGCAAGCAATGGAACACTACGCTTTTGTGACCTTTATCGCTTTGGAATGATGGCGATGCTTTCTTCTCTTCTTCTTTTTCCCCGTTTTTGTCCCTTAATGATTCTTAGTTTTTTAATTGGGAGGATTAAATAGTTTGTTCCGTGCCTTTTTAAGCACGATTAGTATATTTTTTCTCGCATTTTCTTTGATTTTTTCACAATATTGTTTCACGAAAATTGAGTAGTGGTTGCTCATCATGATCTCTTATGCCGAGTCTGACCCTTATTGATAAATTGCATATTGATGCGTTCGTGATAAAATCGGTAATTTTTTCTTTGCCCTGATGAAATGAGTCATTTTGGCGAGCACTCCTAGCATTTGTTGATTGAATTTTGTTTGGAATGATTCGATTTTTAAGGCACCATCGTGCATAGCACATGGCAATAAGAATGCCTCAAAAATTGTAAATTTTCCTTAATTGTCTGCTTCACCGATTCTTTTAGGTAATTGTTAATGTTATCCTAATTTAAATTAGTGCTAGTTAGGCGCAAATTTGATTTTGCTATTTGTGATTTTTTTTTTCCAAATTTACATAGGAAGCAAGGATGCTTTTGAGGGGGAAAAAAAGAAAGGCATTATTTAAAAATAGGAACTTCCTTTTCCTTTACATAATTAGAAGAGAGATACTATATTGAGCAAGCAAAATAGGCACGCGACCTATAAGTGGCAAGAAAAATGCGAACGACCATATTAATAAAGAAAGACATTTGACCATTTGAGGAAATTAACATAGATTATTGAGAACGATGGCGATCGAATTTAAATTTCAAATTCGCTAAAAAATTTAAACGATAATATGGTTGTTACATGAACGCTCGAAACTTACCATTTTTCACTTATTAAAAATACTATCTTTGTATATATAATTTGCTTTATAATATAGTGATACGAACAATCTTAAAATTAATTTTTCCCGGAAAATCAATATTCCAAATTTTTTTTTTTTTTTCAATAATCCTACTTTTTTGGATTTTTCTTTTTGCTCACACTTAATTTTTTGGGTTTGGCAATTCCCATGCACATCGTGATCCGTGCGCGTTTTACCGTAAAAGAGCGGTCAAACATACAGACAGAGCCGCGACAAAGGCGTGGCCGGAGGGGCCTTCTCGTCATTTCACCCCCCTCGCCCTGTCATACCAAAAAAGAAAAAAGGAGAAAGAAACTCCGCAAAACGACAGTCATGGCGCATCACTCGGATTTTTCCCTTGTTCTTTTTCAGCAGCCCAGAAACGAATTTTCCCCACATTCCATTTGCGCCTTTCTTTATACCTCTCAAAACCCAATACAAAAATCACATAAAGATTGCAGCTTTAGGAGTCAGCAACGAGCACTAATGAGTAGAGCGAGCGTGAGCGCCAGTGTGCGTGTGTGAGAGAGAGAGAGGGAGGGAGGGGGAGAAAGAGATCTAACCAAGCAATGGGGTTGAGATTTTTAGACCAAGAACAGTGAAAGCAGCCATGGTTTGCTTTTGTCACGGCCCTCGAGAGTTGGAATCTTTGTGTCTTTGGTGAGCTCTGTTCCAGTTCTTGTTTGTGCAGGCTTTACTCTTTCTCTTCCTTTTTTCTTCTCTTTTTTGTTGGGTGGAATTTGGTTCTTGAACGTTGGTTTCGTGGGAAGAGAAGCTGGGGAGTCTCTTTGAGAGCTCACCTGAACGTTCTTAACTCTCTTCTCTCCGGTACAGTTACTTGTCTGATGTTGGTTGTTTCTCTGCTAGTTGATCAATTTCTCTGCACTCATCATGAAAGCTTGCATTTTCTCCTGCTTTTCTGTTTTGGGTTTCTCAACCCCTTCAGTCTTGTGTTGTGAGGACAATGTGTGCTTCTTTCTGCGTAATCATCCGAGCATTGTTTTTTTTATGGTGTGCAATTTGATTACATGATGGTGTGTGAGGAATTCATGCATCCCTAGTTAAAATGCTTACTTGTCAAATCTTTTCTTTGTCTTTGTTGGTTCTGATCCTATGGAAACCTGTCTTTGATCAGGTAGATCTTTTCATCACTTGATGAAGAAGTGCTGATTCGATTCGGATGATCCGGTACTTTACTACTTACTGCCCCTTGGTTTTTCATTTTGACAATGATTTTTGTTGGGCATTGCGCTCAAAACAAAATGAAGTATAGTTGTCTTATTTTATGTCATTTTGGTGGATCTGCATCTCGAGATAATGAGAGATCTTTTTCATGCTCTATAGCGTCATGTAGCAGTTGGTTCCAAAACTGCCGGTTTACAAGATAAGTCTGCCAAAAATTTATCATTGTTGAGTGGAGATATGGCCGCCACCGCGAATGAAGATTCTAAGGGGATGTATTCTTGGTGGTGGGGTAGTCACATTACCCCGAAGAATTCGAAATGGCTCATGGAAAATGTTACAGGTATAGTTTCGTTGCTTATGGTTTTGCTCGGCACAGCTTTTGTGACACAGAGCTAACAACTCAACATAATGTTTCCTTTGATGTTGTATGTTTGGCCTAGGAAATTTGCTTGAAAATCTAAGAGAAAAAGAGGTCCTGCAACACTAGTGTCAATGTTGCAGTTAAGCGGTAAAGTTCACATTCCAGGATAGTAAGTTTTCGAATAACCTAGGAGAGAAGGGTGCCCCCTATCTCAATCAATGTCTCGTGGACTGGTTAAATTTAGTTCTAGTATCTGGTTTGGCTAAAAACTTTAAAAATTCAATTTTAAAACCAAAATTTCTGGTTATTTCCTCTGAAAAGTTCGATAATTATACATGGAATCCATGAGGTATCGGGCAGTTTGTAGCTTGAGCTGTTGCAGTGCATATTCTACCTTCGGACCTTTTCTTACGAATCATTGCAATATCTCCCAATTTATGATCTCATCTGCATATAATGTTCGATGCACTTAATCTTCTCCTTTTGAACAGATATGGATGCCAAAGTCAAACAGATGATTAACATCATCGAAGAAGATGCTGACTCATTTGCGAGACGGGCAGAGATGTACTATAAGAGACGGCCCGAACTTCTGCAATTGGTTGAAGACTTTTACCGAGCGTATCGTGGATTAGCTGAGAGATATGATCATGCCACAGGGGTTCTGTGCCAGGCCCATAAAACTATGGCGGAAGCATTTCCCAACCAAGTCCAGCAAGTGCTTCTTGACAGTGATGAGTCTCCCAAGGATATTTTGGAACAAGCTCTGTCTTACTTCCAAGCTTGTGAGAAAACCATGAATCAAGATTACAAGGGTATGAGAAGTAGAAATGAGTTGAAACAGGTTGATGACACTTCTGATTCAGGAGGAGGAAGAGATAATGTGGTTCTCATGTGTCGTGATGCAGGAGAAAAAGAATACAGTGCACAATGTACTTGCAAGCATGATGTGATGACACGCGAACTAGAGCGAGCAGGTGAAACTGAGAAAGAAATTCAGAACTTGAACCAGGCACTTGCAGAGTTGGAGGCTGAGAGAGAAGTCTATGCGCTCCAGTTTCATCAGAGTCTGGAGAGATTATCAAAATTGGAGTTGGAACTTACTCGAAGGGCCAATGAAGCTGAGGCAGAAGCTCAATCTTTGAAGACAGCGCTAGTGGATCTGCAAGCCGAAAAGGAACGCAATCTTATTCAGCACCACATGGCTTTAGAAAAACTGAGAGATCTTGAGAACGCTGTGTCGTGTGCCCGAGAAGAGGTGGAAGAAATAAAACAGCGAGCTGATAAAGCTGAAACTAGGGCTGACACTCTAAAACAAGAACTTGTAAGTGTGGAAGCTGAAAAGCAAGCTGCACTTCTTCAGCAAAACAAGTGCCTTGAGAAAATATCAAATCTGGAAGGTAAATTAAAACATGTGGAGGAGAATACCAGAGAGATTAGGGAATCTGCTGCTGTACGTTGCAACAAATTGCTGATGACAATTTCTAATCTGGAGCAGGAAATTATGCGAAACCGGTCCCAACTGTTGGATCCTGATCGGGACAAGGATTCAACAAAGCTAAAGAAAGCTGAAGAAATGTGTCTTCTTTTGGAGAGATCTAATCAGACTCTGCAGTCTGCTTTGGAGGCTTTGACAAAGAAAATGGAAGCTCAGAGTGAAGAAACTATAGAGAAGCAGAAGGAAATGGGAAGGCTCTGGACTTGTGTGCAAGAAGAACGCATACGGTTTTCTGAGGTTCAAACTTCCTTTCAAAATCTACAGAATCTTCACTTTGAGACTCAGGAACAGCTGAGATCCCTAGCCATGAAGCTTCAGGAGAAGTCTCAACTTCTAGAAGACATGGAATTGCACAACAAGGGTTTAAAGGATGAAATCCGGAAGGCCCATGAGGAGAAGAAGAATATAAATGAGGTCAATATGGCTTCATCACTCTTAGTAAAGAACTTGGAAGATGAAATCTTGAGCATGCGAGAAATAATGCGAAAACTTGAAGCGGAGACTGCAGTTATAGTGGGTGAACGAGATTCTCTTCAAAATGAAATTTACTCTCTGAAAGAGCAACTAGATGACCAGAGAAAGAAGCATTGCTCTGTGATGGAGCAGGTGGCTTCAGTGGGTCTCGATCCCGGGTGTTTGGGGTCAGCTTTCATGGAGTTGATTGATGCAAATTCAAAACTTGAGGAGTGCTGCAATTTAGAACAAAGTGAAAAAATCGCTCTACTGAAGAAACTGGAAGTCTCCGAGAAGCTTGTGGAGAAGACTGTCTTGTTGGAGAATAGAATCTCGGATTTGAATGTGGAGTTGGAAGAGTATAAGCTTAAATTGAAGGGAATGGAAGAATCCTGCGAATCTCTCCTGGCTAATAAGTCCACTCTGATTTCTTATATAGAGAGTATGATTGGCAACTTTTACAAACTCATGGGGACGAACGATACTCCTTCTGAGAATTTGCTTAATGATGAGTATGTGGATCTTGATAGAAAACCTGGCAAAGTGAAGAATGCAAAAGATATTTGTGTGTTACATGAACAGGAAAAGTTCGGTACAGTCAGCGAGAAGGAAAAGCTGGAATATCAGTTATATGTCTTTCAGCGAAGACTGGAAGGCCTGGTGAGCAGTTACGAGGGACTAAAAGGTGATTACTCGGGTATGAAGGAGGAGAGAGAATCCTTGATCTCCAGCATCCAGAAGCTACAACTTGATTTAAAAAGAGAGATTGAGGAACATTACAATTCTGTGCAGTTGAGTAGGACCCGGTTAGCCAATGTGGAGTTCCAGATCATTCACCTGCAGCAAGAAGCTCGGAGCAAAGACTCGGAATGTGAAGAGGAACTGGAAAAAGCTTTGGACTCTCACATCCAGATCTTCATTTTGCAGAAATTCCTGGAGGATCTGCAGGAGAGGAATTTCTCACTCTCACTCAGGTATCATACTCTTGTGGACGCATGGCAATTCTCGCAGAAGCAAATTTCTTACTTGGAGAGTGAAAATCTCGAACATCTGGCTGAGCTCAAACTTTTGTCCGATGAAATTACTGTAGAACGGTTGGCATTGTATCGGATTTCAAAGACTCTTGAGATCTGTTCGTGTCAAGAGTTTGAAGACCATATTGATCTGGACCATGATCTTATACGGAATACTCTTGCAAAGATTAGAGATCTGCAAGAATCCTTTTCTAAGCTAGAAGAGGAAAATCTCCGGGTGGTTTTCGAAAAATCAGTCCTATATTCACTGCTCAAGCAACTGGAACTAGAGGCCACAAAGCTTGCAACAGAACGAAATGCCCTTCATCAAGAGCTAAGGGTCAAATCTGAGAACTTCGATGTGTTGAAGTATGGCCTGCAAAAGGTTATAGATACAAATGAAGAATTGAAGCTAAAGTTCTCAGAGGGAATTGACAACGAAAAACTGCTGAAATCCGAAATATTGAGAGCAATCGCAAATGAGAAGCTAGAGCTGCTGAAGAAGCTGGAGGATTTGAAGATGGAGTATGCTGATACCAAGATAGCACGAGAGCATCAACAGAAGCAGATTCTCAAACTGTCTGAAGATTTGAGTCATCGGACCAGAGAGACGAGATTTCTTCGGGAAGCAAAATGGAAATTGGAGGCTGAACTGATAACCTCCAGGATCAATGAAGCTTTTCTCAAGGATGAAATTCTTGAGCTCAATGAAGCATATCGAAGTACGAGTGAAGCGAGACGTGTGGAGATTGAACAGCTAAAAGAAACAATCAATGCTTTGGAAGGAGAAAATGGCGGACTGAAAACTCAGCTTGCTTCTTATGTTTCAGGAGTACTTTCTTTGGCGGAATGTATTTCTTCATTAGAAAATTGTACCGGTGTCCATAAAGATTTTTACAAATCCAAGAAAGAAGTTGTCAAGGTAATTTTCCCCCTGCCCTTAATGCACCACATGCTAGTAGATCTGCTCATTACATCTTTTTTGTTTAAATCTGTTGAAAATAATTTGGCTTGTCTGTCCGTCATCTTAGTCCACAGGAACTTTCTGCACTATTCCATTTTCAATTACTTGAAATCTTTATGAAATTGTTGCCCTTCAAACTTGATCGTCAATCCTATATTTTCTATTCAAACTTATTGTGGACATTAATTTGAAATCTTCTTGCTAACCAAGGGAACTGTTGTTTGCTTATTTTGCTAGTACATGATCATGTGACTCCAGATTCATATTCTTGTTTATATTCCCCTTGTTACCAGGAAATCAACTTGATGACACAACAGCAATCTAGGATTTCAGAATCCATCGGAAATACAAGATTGATGGTGCCAGATTGTTTTTCTGCAATGCAGGACCTGCAATTAAGAGTCAAGGTAATTGGAGAGACGCTGCTGAAAGCTGAGGAGCCGACAGTTCTGGAAAACTTGAATTCGAATGCCAAATTGGAGGAGTTGGACTCTAGCAGATCTCGGAAACATGTCCCAAGAAAAAAAGAAAAGGAAAAACGTGGTGATGCACCTGATAATGACCTGAAGATACGCAAACTGACTCTTCAGATGTCTGTGGCCGAGAATGAGCTTCTGACTAAAGACATTATGCTCGACCAGATTTCTGAACATTTTCCCTATCGGGCTCGTAGGACTGACTCAGTTGAGGCTGAAGATCGAATGCTCGAGCTGTGGGAAACCAGCGATTCAAGTGGGATTATCGATCTTAAAGTCGGGAAAGCTCACAAGAACTATGATATGCCCAACGACTATTACTTCGTCGAAGCAGATAAGGAGCAGAAGTCCTGTAACCCTTCTGGAGAGTCACCTGATGAGAAGGAGCTCAGTGTTGATAAATTAGAGATACCCGAGAGCTTAACAGAACCTCGTCGAGCAAGGATCAAGAGGAAGATCTTAGAGAGGCTTAATGCCAATGCTCAGAAGCTGACAAACCTGCAAATAACAGTGCAGGATCTGCGGAGGAAGGTGGAGAACACAGAGAAGAACAGAATGGAAAAGGGCATCGAGTACAGCAATGTGAAGGAGCAGCTGGAAGAAGCTCAATCGACCATCAACAAATTGTCTGACTCGAATAATAAGTTGATTAGAAACGCTGAGAGGCGCCTATCTTCCTGCGACAGCAAATCCACCAGAGATTCAGATGATCGTGGTTGCGCCAGGAGGCTGATTTCAGAGCAGGCTCGAAGAGGGTCGGAGAAAATCGGGAAGCTTCAGTTGGAAGTGCAGAAGATACAATTCCTTTTGCTGAAGATGGACGACGAAAAAGAGTGCAGAACAAGAACCAGAGTGGTCGACCGAAAGACAAGAGTTTTGCTGAAGGATTATCTAGTAAGTGGCAGACCAAGAAACCAACAGAGCAGAAAGAAATCATCCTTTTGCTGCGTTCAACTCCCGTCCAAAAGGCAGTGAGGAATGGCCGAAGTAGAGTTAGTTTAATGGCCATATCTAGCAGAGAAAGACGTATCATCTTTAGTGTAGGGATCATATTGTATATCTCAGGCCTTCTCCTAGGAAGAGACTAATTAGAGCTCCTTCATGTTTCAGTTTCTTGTTCTTCTCAGCTCTATGTCAACTTTCTGAGATCATTATCTTCTTTAGCGTAGGGATCATATTGTATATCTCAGGCCTTATCCTTGGAAGAGACTAATTATAGCTCCTTTATGTTTCAGCGTCTTGTTCTTTTCAGCTCTATGTCAACCTTCTGAGATCATGGGAGGACATATGAAGTAATATCTCGAAGGTCATCACTGTTACTCGTGCTTTCGATTTTCTGTTGGGACACATGTCATCGATGAATGTACTCTGCTACATGTCCATCTTAGGTAACTTTGAAAGTGGAATTAAGAATTGAAGAATTTTATTTTGCAGTAAGCTTCTGCACAACCTTCTCAAACTCTCATGCACTATTGGCTGCTCCTAGTGCTCAAAATCTCTTGATGGATTCTGGATTGCTCTCTGTTCTTTTAACTCCGAAGATTGCTTCGTGTTTGACAGTCCAGCCAGAAGCGCATGTTCTTAAATTCAATTAGCATAAAAAAATTCACAGTGATTTCTTCTCGCATGTTCTGGTTTAAGTAGCATTTATTCTAATCACGTTGACTTTTTCTTTTTTGGCTGTGGAAGCGAGAGATCTTATTCATAACTTTAAAGTCCTAAGACTATTACAAAAGTACCAACAGTTATATCAATTTCCAGCTCCTGCATTTTTCTCAACACGTTGAGGTAAAGTAAAACCACACAATCACCAGTTTTTACATCATGGATACAGTAAATCAGAATGAATTAGAAAAACGACACTGCTGTCAACATGAAATCAGATTCGTCAATCTTCAAGTTCCTGGCAGCCCATATTCGATAAATTGCAGCTCGCCAAGCAACTTTGAAAATTATAGATGAAAGAGATTTGCCTTTCACACGCCTGAGACACACTGCAACTCGGTATTCCAGCAATGAGCAGCCCTGGCACTCCACATCTGGTATAGACTCCGTGCCATATTTCCTCAGCAAGTGCATATTCCACGAACAAAATGATTCCTAGTCTTAGGAGAAGATAGTTGGTGTGCCACGTGGCAATGACATACGTGACGTGATAAGCCAATCAAAAGTGAATGATCCTCAAATTTAAGCGCCACATAAGATGAGATGCATGGCATGCAAGCAATATGATGGATCGGTTACATCACGAACCACGCTAGCTGTGTGGCCGTCACTTTAAATACTTTCCAGTCTCCGAGGCAAGCATATCATCAACACACAATGTTGGTATCGACCGAGTTGAACCATCTACCCATTCTATGTTCTGTAGAGAGCCCATTCAATATAGCCAACCAGCAAATGAAGCTGCGCTTTGGAATATTTGGAACAAACGAAATGACTATGCCGTGTAACTTCACAGGCTATGAGTTCGTAGGATAATTCATGCGCTGCCAACAGAGAATTTGCTAGTAGTACCCAACCAGACCACCCCATCCTTTAATTCCCGTACTGGTTTTCTATGGAGAGCAAGAAATCTGATCTCACCGTCGGACACATTCAAGCACCATTTTATCAGCCACTAAAGCGTATATATGTTAGGGGCAAAATACCAGATAATAGAAAGAAACATAGGACGGACAGATGAACTCCTTTTGATCGAAATGGGGTTGCTATTACACAGTGCCACTAATTGACCCCGAAGGCAATGCAGGCAAAATGGTTGTCACTATTATTCATTAATTTGCATTTGCGCATGCTGTAATAAGTTGAGTCAAGTTAGCGCCGTAAGTGTTGTTGCCTCTACTCAGTCATAGCGAGCAACTCTGACATAAAATCTAGTTCACAGTAAAATGTCATCACAGGACAGAAAAAGGGTTTTAAGTAATTTATATGATAGTTACGCTATTTGATCATTTTCAGATGATAAAACTGATTTGTGATGATGGTCTCTTGATGTACATAACACCTGCCAAAAGATGGTGAACTAAGAGTGCATACTCTTTTAGTCCAACAACTCTTAGGGCCCGTTTGGTAACGTACCAAACAGTGAAAATTTCTGTTCCCAGAAATAGTTTAGGAACAGAAATGCGTTTAGTAAACTTTTTATTCCCGGGCACATTTTTGCAAAAATTTGTGCCCAGAAACAGTTTTGGAAGAGAAACAAGAAGTAAAAAAATGTTGCTTCTTATTTCTCGGCATAATTTTGAGAATGAGTTCTTTTTCTTTTTTTTCTTTTCTTCTTTGTGTTGTTCTTCCCCTGGCTGTGGCCGGTTATCGGTGGCCGGCCGGCCGGCCGGCCGCCGGCAACCGGCCATAGCCTAGGGCCGACGAGGGCGTCACGGCCCTCGCCGACGAGGGTGAGGGCTGGACCCTCGCCGCCTGGGCGAGGCGGCTCGCCGTCGATCATGGCGAGGTCGGCCTCGCCCAGATCGGGCGAGGCCGAGCCTCGCCGTCGCGACTGACGGCGAGGTCGGCTTCGCCGTGGGTCGCGACGGCGAGGCTCGACCTCGCCCTCGCGACCCACGGTGAGGTCGGCCTCGCCGTTGCGACCCACGGCAAAGCCGACCTCGCCATCGCAACCGACGGCGAGGCCGGCGGTGAGGTAGGCGGCCGGGCTGCGACGCCCTGGCCTGTGGGCGGTCGCCGGCGCCGGTGACTGGCCATGGCCAAAGAAGGGAAGGGTAGAAAGAAAAAAAAAGAAAAAAAAAATTAAACAATTTAAAATATTATTAATAAAAAGAAATTTTGTGTAGTTATCAAACGTATTTCTGTTCTTTTCTATCCTAGGAATAGAAATTTTGGACAGTTACCAAACGCCTTCAAATGCTCATAAATTATTTCCAGACACAGAATCAAAAAGAATCATTTCTGAATAGAAATAGTTTCCGAACACAGAATGATTGTCATGCGCACCCTTAGTCTCCGCACGGAAAAACGAAACTGAATCTGCACATAAGGAAGGTCGGTTGAACTGAAAAGTTAGGCAAAAAATATTCATAATAATTGCCAGGTGTATACATGAAGAGACTCTTTACTTTGATGGAACAGTCTCTTGTCGGCACTGCAGGTTCTTAGCAAGGTTTTCCCTCAATGCACTCCCCAGTGGATCAACTTGCTTGCAACCCTGTTCTACATAGCCAAAATCATGATGACCGGGCAAAGCAACATCGGAATGCAACTTATCCCCACTGTCAAGAATGATATTGTGGAGTAAACAACAAACTAATATAATACTAGGCAGCTTCTGTTTGTCGGGCCTCCACATGACTTTGCTGAGGATTCTCCAACTTCCCTTCAACTGCGAGAATGCCTTCACGGCGAGTGATCTCGCAGATTCATGCACGGCATTAAAATCAGACATGGAATCTGAAAGTCCACTTCCGTCACTTTCGTAAGGAGTTATTAGCCATGGAAGGAGAGGGTATGAGCCGCCACCGATTATATATTCCCTAGCCTCGTATCCTTCCATCAAAGTCTTTGTATTTCCGTTTAATCGTTTTCCACATTCACATAGTTTAAAAAATCCAGAGAACTTCAGAAGTCTGGACCCTGTCATTCCTCCAGGTAAACCTGTAACAATATCAAGAAACCTCAACTCGTTGTCCACGATTCCCTGCAATAGCATGCTATAATTATTAGCCGGGTCACACCAATCATCTGAAGTTTGCACAGCCGGAAGGGTCATGATGATGTGTGTCGCATCAATGGCCCCACAACAGTTGGGCAATCCACAAAATGCCTCAAATCTGGCCTTTATTTCATCCATCCTAGAGGCGTCTGGCCACTTAAGATGGTGTCTGCCACGTTCTTCCAGTGCTTCAATGAACCTCCAGGTCACCTGAGAAACTGTCGACTGTCCGACTCCAAAGGCAGCTCCAACGGAAACTTGGGATTCCCCAGATGCTAGCCTTCTTAGGGCGATTGCTACTTGCTTTTCAACACTAAGTAACCTCCCTTCGATATTGATGAGTCCTGAAGGTGGTCTAGAAATAAGATCTTCTCTCACAAGGGAACATATATAGGCGAAAGTCTCCTTTGACACCCGGAAGTAATACTTGAATCCTTCCGCCTCATCCTCTGGTACTGCGGAACCTAAAAGTAGAGCCACATCTTTAAGATTGACTAAGTTTACAACTATTACAGAAATTCAATGCACTTCGGAATCAAAACTCATGGAAATTATTCTCCTTCTCTTTCAAGATGTGTTAGTCAAGAGAAAGTTTAACTAAAGGACAGACAGTAATCGTCCCATAAAGGTCAAGAAACACATAAATCGTCAATAAGATGAAGTACAGCTATTAAACACAGAAGTTCAGACAATTCTCAAATGTTCAATGTATGGAACAATATGTCATGGTGGACAACATACCAGCACCTACCCTCAGAGTCTCCACTGCTTCTCTTTCTCTGAATTAACCAAGAAAACTATACATGCATTTTTTAATTGGCATATTGCAACTACTAGTCCAATTGCAATGCAATGTAGTATGTCTACCAAACCACGCAGACTCCTTAAAGGATCTAGTGGTTGACAAGAAACTACTGCCGCTTTTAAAGATTATTGATGGCGAAATTTTCTTTCGCAAGGTATCTTTTGAGGGAAAACTGAAGCAATGTAGCTTAGATGGGCAAATATCTTAAAATGACTAAACACTGGGTTTCACAGAAGATTAGGAAAGAAAATACCAACAGTAAAGGATAATTAGACCCTTACTAAAAAAGGATCTAAATGCTGACACTTCGGAAATACTGCAATGAAGCTCAAAGGAATTCAAATACTGACACTTAAGAACTAGTACTCTCTGGTGCTTACAGATTGAATTGTTCAGATGAAGGACTGGTATCATCTATTAATCAAAAGAACCCTTTTCCTGTTACTACCCTTGAATTAGACTGTAGACACTAAAATTAGTGGCAATGCAAAGTCAAGGGTTCAAAATCATGTGACCTCGAAAATTAAACAAGAAAGCACCCAATTTTTGTTTGTTAAAATACTATCCTTGAACAGGATGCAAGTACCAAACTTCCTCTAGCAGATCCATATCTCCAGAAACCAAACTCATGAACAATCCCTTTGTAGACTGAAGATTCAACTATGTGATCTGACAAAAACGATCACAATTTAATTTCACGCAGTATCCACATTTAACGTTAATCTCCAATCTTCTATGAAACTCGGGTCTATGTATGTGAGGTTCATTGATTTTTTGCGAAAATCACACAACATTAAAGTGCATGCTTGACTGTGGTCCAGCCACCAGATGGTATTTGGAGTCACCATCAACATTATCTTGCACACTCAATTTTCAACTAATCCTAAGATGGGATGCAACACGTGCAGAACATGCGGGCACGTGTACATGCTTTTTCTCTTCTTACAGATGGGATGTGCAGTGGTGAACTAAGGAAAGGGTAAACTCTTCCATTGGGCCAACTTGTGGATATCGGAAATGTGCCGAAAGATGAGCCCTCTTCCCCCCACTAGTTTTATTTTAGAGCTTCTGCACAATGCAATCCTAACTTTTGCTTACTCCTAAATTTCGCACCCAGCAAATTAACCAATAGGCTCCCATCTAATCCACCCATTTGGTCCATCGTACACAGATCGAAAAATGCCTCAAAAACCGTACCAAAGTACATCTCCTCCTTGCATGGACATCCACCAGAACATCACCAGCAGATAATTAGTGAGGCATGGTACCTGATCTCCTCATTCCTACGCCCGTCCTAAAAACCTTCCACAGAGTCTCCACTTTAGCTCTTTAAAGATTTTATTGAGGGCATCCACCGGCAGGAAAGGAATAGATACAGGTTTCCACAGCAAAAGGTGGAAGGAACCTAGTTTATTAAAGCACAAGCAAATCCCCAGAATGGTGACATGTGACTTCTCCATACCTGACCTACCAATGACCCTACTATCACCCTCAGTGACTTCGTTTCAAATTTCTTTAGCAGCTTAACCAGCAATTGAAATGCCTAGCCTGATTGCCAAAAGAGTATTGTGAAATGAACAGCTAATGCAATGCGCTCGAGTCTCTTGATCAAAATCCTTGAGAGCCACTAGGCAAGATAACTTATGAGGCTATCCTCCCTAAGTACTAGCAGATCAGTCGCTTATGGGTTTTCCAGAACCAGCACAACGGAGGAAACTGTTTTGGTTCTAACATGAGTTGCCTTCCCTTCTAAGTCCTTTACGTATTTTGCCGTCAACCCAACAGTTTAAACATCTTCAGAACACCAATGTCCAAAGATTTTTATAATTTCCAATGCATTCATCCGAATCCAAGCCAACTCCGCTGAAACCGTTCAATGCACAGTTTCGTCTCCTCCATATGCAGCCAAGAGCTGGACTCTTGCTCTACCCAATTTGAAATCTAGTTCTTATTCCAAAACATCAGGACGAAAACCAATAAACCACTGACCCAGAAGAAAAAACCAAACCGACAAGCAGTCATTTTTTTTCACTTTTAATTGCACGGAGCTCACATTTTTCCACCCAACAACGCAAGACATCAAGAACACGTCTCATCAACCATCGCCATATCACAACATCAAAACCCCGTGATAATACGAGACACCCAAAACCCAAAATCCGAGCTTTTTTTAAAACCCAAGGCCGCGAAATCGCAAAAGCTCCATCCTTTCACCAAGCAAGCCGAATGGGTCGATTTCAAGACACGGGGGTGGGGGAGAGGAGAGAGAAACACCTGGGGAGGGAGAGTTCTTGCGCCAGAAGACGTCCCACCAATCGGTGTCGCTGGTGTTGGGGTCCGCGGGGGCGGCGGAGATGTTCCTCCGCTTCTTCAGCTTCTTCGATTCCTTCTTGCTCCTCCTCGATTTCTTGCCAGGCGCCATTGCGTCATCCCCAACTCTCGAACTGCTGAAGACTACTGAAGAAGACTGCGAACTGCGAAATTAGTGTTCCTCGGCATGTGTCGGGTGCTCGAAAAATAAAAATAAAATAAAAATAAAATAATAAAGAAGAGTTGGAAAAGGGAATAATTCCGTCCATATGTTAACGGTCAGAAAATATTCTCAACCGTTGTAAAAGTAAACGGCGATCTTTGGAATCAACTCAGAAATCAATATAAACGGCGATCTTCGGAATCAACGCGGAGACCAACTTGAAGTACAATATGAGAGAAAAAAAGAGACACAAGAGAAGTAGGGAGCAAATGTTAAGTCTATTTCATTCTTCATCATTATTCTCACCAAATTTACAAAAGTCTCTATTTATAGACTAGATGATACAATGAACATGAATATGTGTGTTCATGTATACAATTAATGAGGATCTAATCGTGTACATTAAAAGAGGGGACCATTCATTGAATGGGGAAAAGTGATACATCCACATCATTCAGCGCATTGTTAATGAATGCCCAATTCATGTATGCGGGGATTCCAATTCAGCGCATTCTATCACAACTTGTATCACAATTGCAATCTATCATATCTTATTCGACCCATTGGATGTATCACAATTTGAAAGGAGATTCCAATATGAAGGGAGCCCACGATTTGTTAATGAATGCCCAATTCAGCGCATCATATTCGACCCTGGGTGTCCCAAACGGTCATACCATAATTGAAAACCTTATGGGTTCATGAACTTCAGGTTCATCACAACATGTTTATTACTTACATGTATGTAAGTATAGTATAACTTGGAGGAGAATAATGGTAACTTTTCCATAATTTATTTTCTGTATCCACTCATCTGGGTTAGATACAAGTATTCTTTACTACCTTCGGTCTCGGTTTCAACGTGAAACCGATTAGAATGACTATCGTTAAATCTAAGTAGGTTCCTTTTAGACCGTGGGCAAAATAAAACAGCATTATTGAAAATTTCTATGCCCATTGGTAGTATTACATGAGCTCTTCCGGAGCCTGTAATTATCGCCTGAAATAGTGGTAATATTCCCTTCACAATTTTTCAATGTCTCAAAGAACTTCCTCTGTTGGAGGATAGTATGTGTATTACCACTGTCTACAAGACAAAGAATACCATCGTTCTCCTCGGGGTAATTGCTTAGCATCATTGATTACTTAACATGAAATTATAAAATTAAACATGAATATTATTCAAAACTAAGAGAATACATGTGAATAAACATAAACATATAATATATATCTTGCTTAATCTAAATCACCAATATCAAGATGCTTAATCTAAATCACCAAAATCATCAATATCAAGATATGTATTGTCAAGAGATGATTCTTTATTCTCTATTGAGGGCTTGGTTGCAACATTGGCTTCCGTTTTTCTCTCATCTTGTTCTCTTTGATAGAGTTCAACCAGGTGCTTTGGGGTGCGACAAGTGCGAGACCAATGGCCTACAGAACCACATCTATGACAAACATTTGCACCAACCTGGTTAGGTACTTCTAGACCTTCTTTTCTTTGTGGACCATGTTTAGGTCATTGTGAACCTCTATCACAGTTCTTATAAGGCTGATTTTTCAAGTTACGCCATTTGCCTTTCCAACGTCCGTGGCTCTTGCTATTATGACGTGCAATATGTGCTTCAGGCACAGGTGCAAATCCAGTAGGGTGAGAATTATGGTTTTGCATCAACAACTGGTTGTGCTTTTCAACTACAAGTAGTGCAGAAATTAACTCCGAATGCTTGGAGTAATTCTTTGCCCTATACTGCTGCTGGAGTACAAGGTTATTGGCATGAAAAGTGGATAATGTTTTTTCCAACATTTCAATCTCGTGATCTGCGCCACGAGTCTTAGTTGTGATACAATTCGGTGAATAGTAGAATTATATTCTGCTACGGACTTAAAATCCCGAAAGCGTAAGTTGATCCATTCAAATCGGCATGAGGAAGGACCACTTCTTGTTGATGATCAAAGCGATCCTTCAGGGATTGCCATAGAATTGCAGGGTCCTCCTCAGTCAAATCTTCATTTAAATGGTGTCGGATGAAGATAAGAGCCTTAGCCTTCGGGCTTTGGAGAACAAGTAGATTCTGGGAGAATAGATCGACTAAGATCTAATGATGTTAAGTGTATCTTGACATCAAAAGCCTATGTTAGATAATTACTTCCAGTAATATCTAACATTGCAAACTCTCTCTTGGTAATGTTTGACATACTTAAAAAGAAATTGTAGAGAGGTAAAGGTATGTTACCTCGAGTGATATCTGAGATTCTAACCGGCTCGTATTTGAGTGATATCCAAGATTCTAACCGGCTCGTGCTGATAACGTGTTGTAAAAGTAAACGGCGATCTTTGGAATCAACTCAGAAATCAACACAAACGGCGATCTTCGGAATCAACGCAGAGACCAACTTGAAGTACAATATGAGAGAAAAAAAGAGACACGAGAGAAGTAGGGAGCAAATGTTAAGTCTACTTCATTCTTCATCATTATTCTCACCAAGTTTACAAAAGTCTCTATTTATAGACTAGATGATACAATGAACATGAATATGTGTGTTCATGTATACAATTAATGAGGATCTGATCGTGTACATTAAAAGAGGGGACCATTCATTGAATGGAGAAAAGTGATACATCCACATCATTCAATGCATCATTCAATGCATTTATAACATCAACCAGTTTCCTCTAATAATTTAAATTTTAAGAGCAGTCGGACCCATTTCGATTTCGTAATTTTCGCTGTGGCAGGCGTGCTAGCCGGAAAGATCCAATAGCCAACATAATTTTCGAGGCATAAACATAGCCGATGTGATTTCTAGGACATAATCATGGCCGATATAGTTTTTGAGATTTATCTTCTAGCTAAGTATCACCGTAGGATTCTTGACTCGAGTAATTGAGTTTTAATTTATGCTAACTACTATTGGTTTATGCTGGTATATATATATATATATACTACATCGAGATATTGGATTGCTTGTTTGATGTGAATGCATATTATATTTTTCATATTTGCATTATCCGTAGCTTGATCCCATATAAGTGGCATTAGTCACTTGCTGAGTTATGGTTTTGTTCACTCCTTTTTCGACCTTTCAAATTGTGAGGTTAAAGATTCGTGAATGCTGCATCGCGAATCAGAGTATGCGGGGATCATTTGGGAAGATGATTCTCTTAGTTTTTTTCGGAATGACGTGGGGAATTTGGAAGTAATTTTTGGTTGAGAATTTCGTCTTTACGATATTGATTTATGATACTTTGGAACATACAATGAGTTTTATTATGCAATGCGAGTAATGTTTAAGAATCATTTTATACGTTAACAGTCGAATTATTTTATGGTTTTGTCCTTTACTTTGTAAAGGACATCCATATCATTGTTTCGAATCTAAGAACGGATTAGGTTGCAATGGTTGTGGTCTCACGAAAATTGTCAATGGTACTAGAGCTAGGGAATATGGAGGTTAATTTTATAAGGACATCGAAAACGATCAAAGCGAGAATACAACTTAACATAGTTAAGTCTGCAGAGGTCGGTATCATTTAATTTCCTCCATGTCCATTCTATACATAATGCATTTGATCTTATCTCAATTTACAATGCAATCAAAAGAGGCTGATAAGCACATGAGATGAGATGTTTGGTCACCCTCATCAACATTGTTTTGCCCCCTTCCTTGCTGATAAAAGATAAAAGACCTGGAGAGACAGATCACTGGCCGAGTTGAGCGGTCACATGTCCCTATTGAGAGCCTATACAAAATACTATGACTCTCCTGCAATGGTTGCCAAGGACAGTAATGTCTGCAAAAACTGCGTAGCTTGTGGCATAGTTCATCTTCAGACATTGTTCCACTTCTCATCAGATTCATCTTTCTTCGTATCTACTTTGCATTTGTGAAGCATGAAGTTGCAAGCCCCGACCGCTTGTTCGACGGTTAAGAAGAACCATTCTTGGCCTAAGTTCTCGACGAACTTGGACTTGCTTAGCTTCTTCATCACGTCGCTTCCCGGATTCGCCAACACCAGCTAACGAAGATGAAAACAAGAAACGAATGTAAGCATTGCTTGTGTCGGTTCTTGTTGACAGTAGCAGTGACCTAATAAGGAAATCTGTATGAAAAGATGAGCAGGACTGCAGGAAATTAGATAATATTACAATGCAGGTATCGAAACACATACCTTGAGATCTCTTCTTTCGACGGCTTTCTTGATCTCTTCAAGCATGCTTATACCGCTGGTATCAATTCCACCTACCGCTGTTCGAAAAAATCATACATAAACTAACTTCAATTCCCGCGTATCATAGTTTCGTAGTATGTCGCAAATGGCTTCACTTTCGTACTCACCTCCCATGTCTAGGATAACATATTGCAGATTGTCCTCTCCCGAATCTTTCAACCGGTCTTCTTCTTCGTCAATCCACCTCGAGATCCTATAAGAACGAATATTCACGAGTACATGAAGAGAAACGATAAACTCAGCGAAGGAATCTACTAGTATTGTATCGAGGGGCTTTATCTTACCTTTCTCTTAAGTAGCCTGCGTTAGCAAAGTAAATCGGAGCATCAATCTCCAATATGAGGATTCCGGGCACATTTTTGGCAATTGGGTACTGCTCGATGTTTCTGTAGGCATTGCAGTTTGGAATCCTTCCAAGAACAAATGTTTTGGGCCTTGCAACGAAGAGTAATACCCTTAGCAACGATACTGCTACCTGAAATTACACCAGCAAATATTGTTCAAGAGTATCTATTGAAAAGAAAGTGCATAAAAAAAGATCTGCAAGAAATCAGCTGTACGTACCGCTAAGACTAAGCCGATCTCGACACTGCCGAATACGACGCCGACATAGGCAGTGATACAAACTACGAAGTCGAATTTATCGACTGCCCACAAGTGGATGGCAGCCTCGTAGTCTATCAGGCCGAGCATGGCAGCGATTATGATGGACGACAGCACCACGAGGGGTGTGTAGTGGAACAGAGGCGTGAGGAACATCAATGTGAACATGACGGCAATCGCCATGACGATGTTTGACACTGCAGTCTTGCATCCCGCATTGAAGTTAACCGCTGATCGCGAAAATGGTCCTGAAATTTCGATAATTACACCGAAAGTCATCACTCCCAAAATGATAAAGATTTAGGCAAATACATTATTAATCATATTAACAGAGTATGTATGCTCTGCCTAAGAGTGTATAGGAATTACCGGTGGTGAGATAGCAAGAAGTGCAAGAGCCAGCAATGTTCATCATCCCGAATGCAATCATCTCTTTGTTCCCATCAATGTGGTAATTCTTGAACATGGCGAAGCTTCGTCCAACTGCTATTCCCTCCTGCATTATACATGCAACACAGCTGCTTCTGATACCAATTGGCAATCTGTTTGCTTATGAATGCACTTTCTTTTTCTTTTCATGTTGCCAAATTTGACATTTTCCATTGAATCCCAAGGCATCAAGTCTAATGAATGATAGTGGTGCACAGTCAGGATTGATGGGTGATATCAATTTCTATCGATAAACCAATTACTACAATTGCAATCAACCAATGATTGTGGGTGGACATATAACATTCATGTAGACACTTGACTGTGCTCAGTAAAGTAGAGAACAAATCTTTTTGCAGGGGTCACACGATGAGATTGACACTAGACGTTACAGTTCCTGTTTTGCATTTCTTGAGAAGTGTAGTTTTCTCGCGGATGTTACTTCAACATGTTGGACCCAATGGGTGAGAGGTAGGAAGTAGAGAGTACTCACAGCGAGGGCAATGACACCTGTGACAATGCCAGTTTTGATAGCTGTGGTCAGATAAGGAGACCCAAAAGCCAAATCCGTGCCGGACGGTGGGTTCAGCCCCTTCTTCAATGGACCAATCTGACACAAAGCAAAAGAATCACAAATTAACACACACACACGAAAACAACATCATCCACTTCATTTTTGGTTCATTAATATTATACTTTTTCAGTTTATAATTACAGAGGACGATTGGGTAGCTCAGTGACCCACCAATCAGATTCCCTCACTCTCCCCTTTTTTCTAACTTTTTAAAATTGTTCTTGTCTGTATTTGGGCTCTTGTTGGCTGATATGATCAGAAGTCCGTGCACATTATTGAAATGGGTCAAAAGCCTCCTCCCCCACAGGAACATGCATGAGCAATTCCGGGTCCCGCTAGAACTCTGGCTTTGTGGTATTATTGGTGAGGCAAAGCCACTAGCCACTTTGGACTGGCCCCTAGACAGGAACGTTGAAGACTGTGTGGTTTTCGATAGAACACATGCAAAGGTGGTGGTCCAACCTCTTCATCAGTGGACTCATCCGTCCTCACTTCCACTTTATCAGTGGTCCATAGTCGAACCTGGTCGGCACAGTTTTTTTCGCAACGGTTATAGGCGGCAGCAGCCGCGAGAAAAGAATGTGCCGCAGCAGTCGTAAGGTGCTTAGCAAATGCCTCACGGCGGCTGTAACACCCCCATAGCTACAGCGGCCGATGGCGGCTTTTAGGAAGTTACTTCGTCCAGTTTTGAGGTATTGTAACTTTAAAAACATGTTTTACCAAGCACGCTTCTTACCAAATACGAGTGTTACAAGTACTTAACATCCCTAGCTTGATTAGAAGAATAATCACAACCCCGGCTATACCTAGTAGCTAGACTTAGTGATGTAGCAGATTGCAAACAGGCTTTCGAATATGTAGCCCCGCATTCAATGCACAATAAAAACCCATCACGTTATTTAGCATCAAACTTTAGCAATTCTATTTTGTTATATATTACGTTGTTCTTATTATATGTGTTCCCCTCTTTCGACCTGTTTCTTTTCTCTCTTTTTCTAGGTTTTCTTTTACTCCTCTTCCAAAATCCTAAAAAGACAGCTTTGGTTCTAGAAGTACTTCAGAGTTCAGAAATGTCACTAGCTTTTAGCCATACCATAAAGATTCATCTAAGTCAACCTTAGGTAACAAGTGAGATTGCTAATCGTTGATGGGACACAATTGAGATTACTAAATACTTGTCTCCAAAATGTAATTTGTCAATTAAAACAGGCCAATCTCCAGACCTTGGCTGCACTACAAAATTAACTAATGAAAAGGCTCCATTTTCGTTTTTATTGCCAAATTATTTAGCAAGATTGTAGTTGTCCCTAACATTACCGAATGAAGGGCAAAGAAAAAAGACTGGCATCGTTAGAATAGAAGCGTTCAAAGATGATGAGCAAACAAAAGATTCTTCGTTTGTTTTAAATTGACGACTAAACCCGGTGCCATGAAATATTTCACTAATTTTATTAATCATATAAGACGTGACATAGACTTATTTGCACTTGGCCATATGCAGAATCAAATCCACAAACAGATCCGCTCATCAACCACCGACCCCATCCCATAAGGATGCGTCGTGATTATAATCTCAATAGAGCTAGAGACGTTAAATTATAGTCTATAAAAATCATTTCAAGTTCGGGTTCGGTGCTTAAATATGACCCGCTTACAAGTCAAGAGAAATGCTAGATATATACGAAACGATTCACCCAGTTAACCCAATGTGACGAACTGCAAGCAAGAATTCAAGCAAAGCAATCATATCCAGCACCCAGCAAGAGTCTGTACCTTCGGATTCTAATCTAATTTTACAAGCTAGGTGTCTTGTTACCTAGCATTACTTGTTACCTAACCACCCACATCAGATCATCTTTTTCCTACTCCTGGTCCTGGGGATGTTCTTGTATGTTTGTTGAACTTATTCTAGTTTTTATATACGGCAGGACTCGAGCACTTACCACTGGAACGCCATGCTTTTCAGCGTGGGTTAGGTAAACCAGAAGACTTCCCAGGATCACTGTCGTCAGCGGCGCCATTGCTGATATCCAGAAGAACTTGGGCCTCCTCTTGCTCTTCATCATCAAAAAGAAAAATCCAAGATTAATCATCAGAACATATGCATGCGACTGTTTGTAAAGGTTTGTATAGTCACATCATACCCCTTTTAGATTTTTTAGTAAATAAGGTTTTTGCATTCTTTAGTTGCGATTGATTATAATATTGTACGTGTTTCCTAGCTATGTCTAGTTTTCTGAGTATAGAGCGAAAAAACAATATATTTATAGTGGAGGTAGTATAAATTCTCTTAAGCAATACGTCTCTCTTTTCTCTTTCGGAAATAGAGTAACATTTTACCCCTTCAAGATATATCGGGAAAGGTTCCCGCATTTTCTATTTGAAAAATGCTACAAAAAAACCCTAAACTATAATAATCGTGACATCAATATTCCTGAACTTGTATCGGTACGACAAGTTTGGGGGGGGGGGGGGTTTGGGCTAAACAGAAAAAGTTTGGAATATCGGTGTCATGGTGAGCATTATTTACGAGTTTTGGTGGTATCAATCCTCCCTAAATGAATTGCATAAAGAGTGGAAGCAGGTCGGATTTGGAAATTAAAGAGAAGGTGATCTAGGTTTAAATATTCCAAGTGGAGTAGGAAGCTGCCAAAAAGTATGCATCGAGGACAAAACCCTAAGAATAGAGCCGTCTGACATTGACTCACCCTGCACAAATATTTTAATATCAGCCTTTTTCATGTATACAAATTTTAATTGCCCGCTTTTTCCCGTTAGGAGGGTAAAGTAAATATAAAAAAATAAAATTCAAAGTGAAAGAATTGAGAGCAGAGAGGGGTCAGATTCACTTACCAGGTATCTGGTGAGCAGGAGGAAGAAAAGGAAACAACACCCCAAGACACCACTTTCCCATCTCCACTGCCAAAAAAAACGGGCCATCATCTCAAAAAGATAAGATCAACTGACAAAAATCTACCTATATATACATATATATACTATATAATTATTTGTAATTACAAATACAGCAGCGCTCTAACATTATAACAATAGAATTAATTTTTTATAAGTAGGTTTATTCGATGACAAATAAAACTTGTGAGCCTAATCGGGTAGAAAGTCTAGAAGAAGAAGAAGATGAAATCAGATTCTTAACATGCGATACAAAAGTTTTATTAAGCTAGTTAAAGTAAAATGGTCTTATCCATATTCTCCCGTTGGGAAGCTACTTTCTCAAATAAGTTCGGATGTCCCATGCAGAATTCGTTGTTCTAGCACATTTAATCGTCCTTTAAATGATTTTCTTACCCTATGAGTGCAACTTTAATTGGGTGCAGCATGGAAGTGGATGCTTTGTTTTTCTTGAATAATTCTCGAAAGTTAAACGTAGATGTAGGGAACAAACTTTGCTGCTTTAGTACTTTAGTTCAGTATCTATCCGTCGGTGACCATAGGATAAACAAATAGAGAAAAAGGATATGTGCTTTATGGAATAATTATATCCCGTCGTCTCGTGCTAGTAGTTCGGACCGAAACGTATATTGATGGTGATGTGTCGATATGTCACATGATATGAGTATGGAGCAGTGAGAAAGACCTCGTGAGTCTGGCTGAAGACGGAGCGCAAGACGGAGATGACGTCAGTCTCGTGGGTGAAGCGGGCGAGGCCGAGAATGCCCTTGAGCTGTTGAAGGCACACCACCGTCGCCGCTCCGGCCATGAACCCCACTATCGTTGCGTGCGATAGAAAGTCCACCAGAAACCCTAGCCTGCAGATTTCATCACTCACGTCGAATGAATTTTCTCTTCTGTTTTCTTTTCTGTACAACCTAAAAAATTGACTAAAAGGCGTGTAATAATAATGTTTACTCAATCTCGTACACGAGACTCTCTGTGAAGTTTCAAACTAGTGGAGTAAATAAAGTTGACTACCTTGTCTTAGGCCCCGCATTTTCACTTGCAAGAAACTCTCGGTAACATGAAAAAGAAATATTGACGGCTTCTGTTCTACGCTGTGATTTATAGTTGGTGGTCATGAAGTGAACGAAATTGCATATGCAGTTCAAATTTTCAGTAAAAAGAAGGCAAGTTTCCTCTCAAGGGTCGGAGGAAGTTACCAGCAGGTAGAGTTGTTTTGTAGTTTCTTCATTTACGTTACAGAGAGTTCTTGTCACAAACAAGCAGACAAGAACAGAGACAAACCCACGTAATATACAGCCACAGAGAGAGAGAGAGAGAGAGAGAGAGAGAGAGAGAGAGATGTGAACTGTTTATAGTGGTTTTTAGTGATTCAAACAGAGACAAAATGGAACAGCAACAGGATATTGGAGTAGCCATAACTCATAATAATGTTTTCTTTCAGTGACTCACCTCAACAAGCCCAAGCAAGCTTGCAAGACGCCGGCGACGAAGGTGGCAGTGAAGGCGAGGTGGAGATAGAGCGTCGGGTTCTCGGACGCTTTCACTTCCTTCCCCAGCATGGAAGCCGTGAGCAGCGACGCCACCGCCACCGTCCCCACCGCCAAATCTCTTGAGCTCCCCATCATCGCGTACACCAACGGCGGCACAAAGCTCGAATCTGCGCCGGTTTTTTTTTTTGTTCTTTTTTGGGTTAGATCGCGGACAAGTAAGGACCAAAAGGAGTGGAACAAAGAGAACAAAAAGACATAGTTTTCAGCCGACAGCTAATTTGATGCTTCAATGATGAGATTAAGGTAATAAAAGGCTGATCTTGACTTGTCATAGAGTTAAGCTAGCTAAGTGTTGGATAGTGGTTTGATGAGTGTTCGGCATACGCGTTGGACCAGTTACGCACATGCCTAGAACTGTTCACGAGTCCTATAAATAACCATGCCTATTCATATGCAAGCAAAAAATAAAGAGTTCTTTTCCCCGACCCCTGACATTGCAAATAACATTCCCAGAGTGGATATGTTGGTATCAATGAAATCATTTCCATAACAAATGAACTCCTTGAAAACTGTTTTTTCTCATGCGAAGCACCGGACATACCAAATTCAGAAGTAGAAAAGCACTCACATAGGCCGAGAATGGGGGGCAGGTTGGCGAGCTTGGCGTAGCTGATGCCCTGGGGGATGGCGAGGCTGGCAATGGTGATGCCGGCCACGAGGTCGGCCCGCAGGAACTCGAGGGTGTACCGCGGCCCCCACTCCAGGATGGGCAGCACGTACTGGAGCCCCAACACGAGCCGCCTCAACCGCGGCTGCCCCTTGAACTGCCGGAGCGGGTCGTCCGGGAAGAAAGTCTCCTTGAGGGAGTTCCTCAGGGACTTGAAGAACGGCTGGGGCGGCGGGATCGCCACCCCGTGGTTGCGCCGATCCGCCACACTCTCCATTGGAGGGTACCCATCGTTGTCTGCATTACCCATGTCCTGCTTTTCTTTTTTTCTTCTTGTTTTTCAGTAGAAAGAAAGAAAGAGCAAAGAGAAAAAAAAAGAAAAAGAAAGAAATGTCAAAAGAAGAGAGGTGGGTGGTTATGGTGCAGGAGTGAGCATGGATTTATAGAGAAGGAACGCTGTGGCAGCATTAGGGATCTTCCATCTCGAGTGCCTTATCGGACCCGCAGAGATATTCCATAATACTTTTTTTTGTGGGGTGGGGGATACATTGTTATCAACTTTTTAGGGTCTTTTACCCTACAAAGATGTGGAATTGTGGGGGTTTGGGGAAGCTTACGTATGTGAGTATACTTGATTATCCCCCAATTTGGTATTTTAGGAGTACATTAGATATGTCAAACGAATGAGTTGGTCGAATTTGGATCGGGTCATAAATGATCCGACCCGAATTGACTCATTAATCCTACAGAGATGTAGAATTGTGGGAGGTTCGGAGAAGCTTATGCATGTGAGTATACTCGATTATTCCCGGGCTTGGTATTTCGAGAGTATTACATGGGTGGTATTATGAGCCTTAAATGAACGTGGATCCCATAAGGTTATAAACGAACTCCCAAAAAGACCCAATTGTCTCTACTTTTTGAGAAATTTCTTCAAAAAAGATAGATATTCAAAGAAAACTCTAGACATCGATTTCCCGCCCGGCTCCCCACCAACTCGTGCCCAACTCCGCCGCCGTAGCGACGCTCCCCACCGCGCCCCGCGTCCTCATCGTCGCCCTCTCTTGCTGCCCCATGCCACTCCGTCCTCGCTAATCCTTTTTAGAAACCGAAGATAGAAGCAGCTGTCGCGGTGGCAACCGCTGCGAAAGATAGCACGGGAAAAGTGCCAAAAAAGTCATAAACCTTTGCATTAGTGCCAATTTAGTCCTAAATCTTTTTGGTGCCAATTCAGTCCTAAACTTTTTGCATTGATGCCAATTTAGTCCTAAACCTTTTTTGGTGCCAATTTAGTCCTAAACCTTTTGTTTTTGCCAATTTTAGTCTTCCACGTTGCAGTGCGTGATATGAAGTCTCGTCGTACAGCACCACGTGACAATTTTAATAATATTTTAATGTTTTTTTAATTTTTAATTTTTCCTTTTTTTTCACCTTTTTTTTGGTCTTCCTCCTTCTTGGTGCCGATCCGTAAGACGGTGTTGCCGGGCCAGCTCGACTCGCTATATATACGAGGTGGGCCTCGCCGACATGGCTAGGCTCGAGCCCGACTTAGGCATTTAAGCGAGGCGAGGCCATGGTCGCAAGGCCGACTCGCGATGCGAGGCGGCCTCGCCCGACCAAGGCAGGCTCGCTCACGGCGAGGCCGCCTCGCATTTCCGGTCCAGCTCGCGCCGAGGAAGGAGGAAGACCAAAAAAAAAAAAAAAAAAATTCAAAAAATATTAAAATATTATTAAAGTTTCTTTCGCTACGTCACGGCAGGACGTCAAATCGGAAAAATCGAGAAATTTTTTGTGAAAAAAACAAGGTGTGGATGAAGAATGACACAAAAAAGCGACTAAATTGACACTAATACAAAAAATTTAAGACTTTTTTGGCACTTTCCTCAAGATAGCACAACCTTTGGCAACCCCAAATTCGGACCTGGCCAAATGGGTCCAACCTCGAAATTTTGTTTTGCGATGAAATTTTCTTCCACGTGCAGTGCGTGATATGAAGTCTCGTCGTACAGATAAATCTCGTTTTTAATGGGATTTTGTTCCGTGCTCGGGGTGTGTGCCACTGCATTAATTTGTGCATGTAAGACGGTGTCTGCCGGTTTTGCCACTCTTTGGCTAATATATACGAGTGCGTTCGACGCATTAGATTCACCCCCACTTAGGCATTTAGAGTTGGAGGTCCTGTACATGATACGAGGAAGACAATCTGAAAAATTCCTTTCTGGAAGTAAGATCAAGGTGAAATCTAACGTACAAGCTATTGAGAAAGACATCCGAGGCGATGGGTGTGGTGGCACTTTACTCCACCACTTATAGCAGAAGTGCCGGTCTCTAGTCATTAACACGAAATGATTAGAGTTGTTGCTGAAGTCTTCATAGAATTTTTGCAGCTTTTAAGCGATGCGATGAATGATTTGAGCACCAGCGTTACCCATTCGTCGCTTTTAAGCATCTATAAATAAATCAATCAATGTGTTACCCATATCAATACATATACTTAGATACGTTAACACATGTTTAAAGATAGTTGTACACGCCTATATAAGAAATTATATGTTAGGCGTGTCGCGTAATTTTATTGTGATTAGGTTGCTGTACAATTAAGAAAGTTATCGTGTTTGGATTAAATTTTAATGTAACACGGTCGACAAAGGTCAATGGAGGTTGGTCGCGTCAGATAGGAAAAGATGCTCATGGGTGATCAAGATTTACTTAAAATCAAGCATCAACATGCATCAACTTTGATATCCCTTGATCCAAGTGACGTTACACATTTCTCTGTTCATTTGACTATAGTCGACGAGTCAAGTCAAAATTGAAATTCAAAATTAGAATTTTACGTGCCGATTTAAGTGCTGAAAATAAAAGTATAATCTCACTCGATAATAGTTGATTTTTTTTTTTTGGGGTCAGAGATAGTAGTTGAATATTAAGTGATGGATAATATTAACTTTTTACTAACAGACAAGATTTTAATTCCTTTTTGGATGTTCATTTTTTATATAAATTATGTACCTCCAATCTTACTAAGCAAATTATGTGATTTTTTTCACTCAATCTAAATATGATTTTCAAACATGTTTTATTTTTAAAGTGCCAGATGTATTAACTTTCGGCACTTATTAGAGTTATCGAACATGACCCTAATATTAATAATTGGAAAAATTATCCAAAAAGTCCAAAACATATTTTATCATGGCCAATTTAGTTCTAAACTTTTCAATTTGGCCAATTTAGTCCTAAACCTTATAATAATTTTTTTAATGTAATCCTTCTGGCCAAGTTTGATCGGAAATCACTAACGAGCAGTCTAGTTAGCACCGGTGTCCTAGCACGCCGGTGCTGATGCGAATGAGTTTTGCAATTTTTTTTCCTTGCTCATCTTCTTCCTCCACCGATTGCCGAGCATCATGGTCTTTGTTGGCCATCTCTTGCCCAAATCTAACGAGGTCGTCAAGGTCCTCGCCAGCCACCCCTGGCCCTTGCCTGTGGCCAGTTGCTAGCCATCACCGAGATTGAGTGATTGCCCACAAGCAAAAAGGTAGAGAAAAAGTATAAAAAGAAAAGAAAAGGAAAAAAATATTAATAATTTTTTTAAAAAAATTGCAAAAATCATCAACTTTAGTGTCGGCCGTACCAGGTAGAACAATTGGCATTCTCATCAGCAATTTCTAAGCAAAATTGGCAGGATGGACTATATTAGAAATCGTTAAAAGATTTATGATTAAATTGGCCAAATTGTAAAGTTTAGGACTGAATTGATCACCGGATAATAGGTTTAAGACTTTTTAAACAATAATCCCTCATATAATTTAGGGCAGCGCTATTTTCACCCCAATAAGACAACATTTTTTTTTACTAAAAAGACAACATTGCCCTCAATCATTCAATTGCAATTTAAAGTAGTGGCCCCAATTTTTTTTTTACTTTCCTTCCTTTTTAGTTTTTCTATTTCTAGGTAGCATCAAGTTGCCATAATTAAGAATATCACATGTTTTATTTTTGCTTATTATGGGTATCCATGTATGTTAAAGGCACTATGTTTTCTTTTCTATTATTGAATTTTACTTCCATAAAAATTAACTTTGTCGAAAAGAGAAATTTTCAACAAAACCTAGTTCCTTTTTACATTTTCGACCAAATTTATGAATTAATTGTCAAGTAGAATCTAGAGACAACTTCGTTAACACAGTCACATTTTTATAAACTTTTACTTTTGTTTTGCATATCACCACCGAACCATTTCTTATAAAAACATATACATACGAACGGGAGATTGGATGAAAAAAAAAAAAAAACCTCTCTTTAAAGATCTTCCAAAACAAAATTATAATGACATTCCCCATTGTGAAACTTTAAATTTAATTGAATCAAAGCTTTGCATAAAATAAGAAATTTTGTTAAAAAATGTCAATGAGTTTTCATCATTTTGGATTGACAAAAATTAATATCATGTGTGACTAAATTCATGGAAATTCTTTTATGATGGTACAAGTAAAAGTTTTTAACATGTGACTGCATTAAAAATTTTCCTTCGTTAAAATTTTTTCCAGATTCTACGTGACAGTTAATCCATAAAGTTGCTCGATAATGTAGAAAAGAACTAGGCTTCTTGGAAACTTCTCTTTTTCAAAAATGCTAATTTTGACGAAAGCGAAATCTGAAAATAAAGAAGAGAACATAGTGACCTGTAATATAAATGGGATACCCACAACAAACAAAAGAAAAACATGCGATATTCCTCGCTATGGCAACTAGATTCTACACGGAAGTAAAGAAAACTAAAAGAAGAGGGAAAGTAAATGATACTTGGGGCCATAGGTTCAAATTGCAACTGAATGATCAATGGTAATTCTGTCTTTTTTTAGTGAGTATGGAGTGAATTAAGTCATAGACGGGGTGAAAATAGCGTGGCCCATAACTTAACACTTGTCACATATTGAATGGAGGGCCTTTGCAAAGTCCCATAGCCTTGGGTCTAAATCTTCATCACGTTCTTGATTGAATTGTTAAGTAGACAACCGAGCAATGATTAGATTGAGCAAATCATAGAGGGAAACAAATCAACATCATCGGTTCATGTTGAATTTAGAGTGTGAAACGAAGGGCGTGAACGTAAAGATTCCATTGCCATTATTGCATTCGCTATGAATTAATTTAAGGAGATTTTTGAAGGATGGTCGCACGGGAGGATGAGAAGCCTTCCCACAAGACAAATTAGGGACAACGAATCCGTGCAAGAAACTTTTCGTGACGATAGATATGTAGGCATGTTCATAATATAAAAATGGCAACATGAGCCCCTAGCGGTTTGGCATCGAGTTTAGATGGAAGTGAAACCCCATTATTATCTTTATATTAATTTTTGAGAAAATTACCAAAAAAGTTATAAATCTATTGACTGAACATTTCAATTTGACCA